AGCCGGCGGGGGCTTTCGATTCTAGGTTGTTACCCCTGAGATTTGGTTGAAAGAGAATTTAACTCGATCTTGCTAATGTTTCCGTTTCGACGCATTTCACGAAACTAGCCCGATTCCCGGTCGCGTTTGAGCCCTTTATATACTAAAATTTTGGTGGAAAAATGGTAGTGGGGGTGTTGCTACGTGGTCCGGTTCCAGAACGTTCGTCGTCGTACCCCCTTGGAGGTACTCGACTCACGATATACAAATCCACCCCCGGCTGGCTGGCGCCAGCCTGGCGTATGCCTTCAGGAAGGAATATAAAAAATACGTGGGAGGATTCCCCGTATGTTACAATACCATTTTAATTGGAAAAATGTGACCAGTATATTAAACAAATTTTCATGTATAAAAAATTAGAAATAAAAAAGTTAAGTTATCGTTTTTATCACTACAATGTATTCATAGTAATATACACCGGCTCCGCCGGTCTTAGCCACCGGTGTTATCTCTCTCTTTCTCTCTCATGAGGTGTCGGCAATAATAAAGGCGAGCCGTGAGACTCGAAGAATTAAATGTTCGTATGCTAGATCTGACTATTACTCGTCGTTGATTTTTGTCACTGTCTTCGACCAATGTCGATCACTGCAACAGAAATGAGCCATGTCTTTTTCTCGTGAAAGAATGGTACATTGGTTCTACTTCTGAACATTTTAAACTTTACTTTAAAGGTGACTTTATTTGCTCGAACTTGTTAAAAATGAAGATATTAACCAATATTATCATAAACAGTGTTCTAAACTTTTTTTACGAAATTGTATTCTTTTCATCAGTTGATACATCATCATATGAGCTAGCAGTATTTTTGTAGAAATTTTAGGAGGACTTAGGACTTAAGACTTTTGTAGAGAATTTTGTCCCAGATTCTACTTTAAGACCGAAACTGTTCTCCGTGTCAATGACTTGGCCTCGCTTGGCACGATTTCCTTTTATCTTTTACCGACATCAGATGGAACACAAATTGGCATAGCGTTCGTTTTTTCAAGAGAAACTGTATCCTTCTCAAATGACACTGAAGAGATACAAAACGCATCAAACTTGTTTATCTTTGTCTACTCCCCTGCTTCATCGCTCCATGCCGACGCAGTGGAAACGGATATTTTACAAGGATCTGCTCATTCGGTTGACAGAGCCGCGCCGCTTAGACCGAATGGTACAGTGAAACACTTTTCTCTGTTGCAATCAGATGTAGTTCACTAGCTCCATTTACACAGAGTCCGTTACCGTACCCGCAGACTTACCATCAAGGCTCACGGACTGTAAGAACTTTCAGAACTTGTTTCATCCTGCCTAACCATTGACTAACGCAAAGAAAGGGGAAGAAGACTAGAAGTGACTTGACTTGGGAAGAACTTTTCTTAGTGACGCAACCAACGGAAAGGGGAACCGATGCGCGAACAGAGTATACATATAGCGTTCGTATAACCTCGTGTCGCTATCCGCGTCGCATCGTTACTCCCTCCCGTTGCTCTCCGCATCTCGTCATACCCCCCACCCGTTGGTTGCGCTGCTAAGCAAACCCTTTCCCAAACCAACTCGCGATGCTTCTCCCACTCTTGTGCCGCGTCGCTGTCAGTTGCTCTCAATAGCTCCTACTCTTTTTCTCTTTTCTTTGCTGATAAAGAAGTGGGGGAAATTTCTGAAAATTCTTACGATCTCCACAGATACTGCACGCAATGTTTTTCTTTTCTGACTTAGAACACAGACAGGTTACTGGAAGATCCGCGAGATTCGACGAGGGATAAATAAAAATAAAATATTATTTGGAAAGGATACGAAATCTCAACCAGAAAAGAGATAAGATAATGTTGAAAAGCATGGAGATGTCTCAAAATACAGGCGGTAGTTAGTAGAATTAGCTTAGGCGAAGGAGGAGGGAGGTGCAATGCGATAGGAAATAAATATAGAATATAATATGGAGTAGCAAGTGTGTGTAGTAAGATTAAAAAATAGGAGTAGGATGTAGAATTTAACACAGTGTTAGATAACAGCGAATGGAATGAGTGAGCTGTTTGAATGAACACAATGAATGGATTTAGATTACACTGTACAACCAAGTTTCGTTTCCCGGTTATGTGGACAAAAATAAATAATTTTTATTATTGTACGTATGAATGAACTCTAATATGTATATTTTAATACAACATTTAATGTTTTATAGTTATCACACAAAATAAATTCCTATTGAGAATTATAGAATACGTATAGAGAGTAGAGTATATAGGAGATACACATAGATAGAACGCGTACGTTTTACATGTCCTTCGAAAAATATTGTTTCAGCACTGAAATCGACAGTAATCTGTTATGTTATATCAGTTTCTATTGAAACTGTCATTATTATGACAGTTAACGAAACTCAAATCCCAACTGTTTTATTAAGAAGCTGTTGCTGTTTTACAACAAAAGACATATTTTGTACTGCAATTATCGGTTTTTCATTACATTCTCGAGGACAATGTGAAACAGAGGTTTCAGACAGCAATATCAAAATTTTATCCGTACTATTTCGCGCGTTATCGCGTGCTAATAATACCGATATTTTTTATTTCGATTTGTATGCCATCATTTGGTACATCTGGCGCGCCACGATCTTTCCATCTTTTAGCAAATCGGGCTCGTATTTCAGTAGATCGTCTGCTTCTTGTAACTTCTTCTTTGCTTGCTGTGGAAAAAAGACAAAAAAATAACGGAAGCACCAGATGATAATGTCGTTCCAATTTATTTAAATTCAAATAGCATTTTAAAATTGTAGGCATTTAAAAATAAATGTGACGTGAATTATTTAACAAAATATGGATTTTCAATCTAAGGACAGTTTGTAAAAAACTCTTGTGCAAACACATGGTCAGATTTCGTTTTTCATTCTTAATTTAAAAGGATTATTTAGTAACCTTGATCAGATGATTTTCAAAATAAATGTTGCATGTTACTGTAAGGAAAAAGTAGATGATAGTGGAAAGTAGAATCCAATTGCAGGTGCGTATATTTTATAATAAAATATTGTTTATAGTATTTAAGTATTATGGTTTTAAAAAAGTGTTTTTAACTAACTTTTCATATAAACTGGCATTTCGACTAAGAAATAATTTATTTATTTTGAAGCAAGGTATGTATCTATTTGTCAACAGGTACAGGATTTGGAAATACAGGGTGTCGCAAAATTATTGTACAAGCGGGAAATGAGAAGTTCCTGAGGTCATTTGAAGTAACTTTTTCCTTAGCGAAAATGCAATCAGCGGCTTTGTTTATGAATTATTAACGAAAAACTGTGACTAATGAGAGGTGAGATCAGTTGGCGCGTGGCGGCCGTGTCAATGAAGCGGAACTGGGCTTTCAACCGCTCGTTAGCTCGCCGCCTCGCGCCAGTCGAGCACGCCTCTCATTGGTCACTGTTTTTCGTTAATAACTCATAAACGAAGCCGCGGATTGCATTCTTACTAAGGAAGAAGTTATTTCAAATGGCCTCAGGAACCCTTCATTTCCCAGAAGTAGCATAATTTTGAGTCATCCTGTATACCTAGTAGAAGTCTATGAGTAAATGACTTACCGCCGCAAGGGCCAGTGCGTGCAGTCTAATTATAGTCCCCCGAATATGAATTTCAGCTGAAAAATAACGTAGTTAAATATAATTTGAAGGCTTTCCCTAGGTCACAAAAATAACAAGGTTATTTATATATCATACTATTGTTTCAAATAAAAAAGATCATTGCAATATGTTTTCTATAAAAGATCCAATACAGTTTTAATTTTTAATAGCATCGTCTACGACCCATAAAATTGATGTATTTATAAAATGAATACAGTTTTCGCAATTTTGTGGTATAAAATAATTGTTATGGAAAGACTAGTAAATCTGTGACTGATAAGAAATAATAATAGTATTAAGTTACCAGGCGCGATAGTTTTCAGCAACTGATTGAGCTTTTCGAATAATTCTAACCGTTCGACCAGAAGATTTTCATTTTCCAATTTTAGACATTCTGGTCTAAGGAATTCAACCAAAGCTATCATAATGCCGACATTGTAAAAGTGATTCGGATGTAGAATGATATCGTAACGTTTCAAAAATTTATCACACGCAGTAATACTCTCATCCCTTGTCTTCAGAAAATTGCTGCGTACACCTTCTAAAATCCGCTCCACCTGATCGCAGCTCATCTCCGATTTACAAGTGTCACATATGTAGGGCAATGGTTCTGTTCCGAGGAATGTTTCTGGCAGAACGTATCCAGGACATTCACTATACATAAAACGACAATTAGTCAAACAAATCTTCGGCTCATATTTTGATAAGCAACGAACGATAAGCAATTAATGTAGATTTCCCAGCGCTGAATACAAATTTAGAAACTGTTTTTCTCTATTATTTTTAGTTTTTGAAATGTTTAATTTTGAAAGAGACGTTTAGTTTTAAACTTTAAGATTTGTTCATCTTTATCTTTATATAGGGCCTTGTATACGATTCTGTATACAATTCTATACAGGGTGTCCCACAATTATTTTAACAGCCGAAAATGAGGGGTAGCTGAGGTCATTTGAAGTAACTTTTTCCTTTGCGAAAATGCAATCCGCGGCTTTGTTTACGAGTTATTAACGAAAAACACTGGTCAATGAGAGGTGACGGCGCGAGAGAGAGGGTCCGCGAGAGAGTCCGCAGCACGAGGCTTTGACAGAAGGTCGGGACGGACTCGAGCCG